CCAACTGCAGCCAAGGAATGCAAAATAAAAAATATAACAAAACAAAAAAATAAAATAGAATAGAAGACGATGTTACGGAGGCAAACAGTGAATGATTAAATACTCTAAGGCTATGTTCTGATTGAAGAAAAAGGCAACGGAAAGGAAAACGGGAACAGGCGAGACAGAATAAGAATAAGAAAAAAATATATATAAAATAAATATATGAAACTACATAAAATGCTCTGAGCTTTTGAGCTTAAATTTAGAGCAATATTCCTATGATATATTTAGGAAATATATAATATACGAAGAAATGTGTAAATTCCAAGACAAAAAAAAAATAAATAAATAAAATAAAATAAAATAAAATAAATAAATAAATAAAAATGAATCTTAAATAAATATATAAATATATTTTATCAATCCCAAACATTTTGGTGCGTTTATTATTTTTATAAATTTGTATCCGTATAGGAAAGCTAAAATATACATATATAAATATAATAAATATATAAGTAAGAATATAATGTTCTAAAAATTAGAATTTTTATTAAAGTGGAATGAAATATAATATGTGTATAATATACATACAGTAAATTAAAATAATAATTTAATAATATAATTAATTTTTAATTTTAATAATATCTTATAATTTTAATTTTAATCTGGTAAGCTTTTGTATGATACTAAAAATCTAAAAGACAACAAAGATGTAGCCCATATGGTTTATTAAATTCTGGTTTATTAAATTCCAATAGGACCATATATATTTCATGAGTTCATCCGATTCAGCTTAGGAAAATTTAATATGCACAGTCGAAGCAGAGTCATAACGACTTCGGACCATCGTTAAGGCATTACACACACAGTTCGCAACAAAATTATAATGCAGCGCGTTAGAGTATAGACAAAACTTTTTTATGGCATTTGCAGCAAATGCAAATGTTGAAGCAACAACAACAGCAACAGCGGCAGTCAGTTGTGTGTGTGTGTATACTGTGCGGTCGTCATTTTGTTCCAGCTGAAATGGGGGGAAAAAAAGAAGAAAAACTAGAACTGCGAACTACAAAAGTAGAAAACGGCAACGGGCGATGGGCAATGGGCAACTGGCAGCTGGCAAATGTTAGCCGAATTCTGTAAGCAGTCACGTGCGAACGTGACAAAAATGCCACGATGATGCGCCAAGCTCTCTGGACAAGTTTTTCCCAGAGCCGTTACCAATGGCCATAAGCAGACACAACAACAAAAACAGAGAATGAGATGGAGCAGGAGACGGCGATGGATATGGCAATGGAGACGAATGCAAAGCTACAAATGCTTGACTCGCATTGTACTCACGCAGCAGCTGTGTGTGTGTGTGTGTGTCTGTGTTCATATTACACTGTTTTCGTACGTAACACGGCTTTTGGCCGAGGTTGCGCCACAACATTGCAGAGAGTACCGCAAATGCGATATAGTTTGTAAGAGTTTCGTGGGTGATGTCATGGCCGAGGCATTGCGCATTCAAATGCGAAACTCCTGAAAATAACTGTGAATTATGCGCACAAATAGATTGTCAATTGATGCATCAGCTGCATCATATGTCATCAGCAGCAGCAACAGCAATAGCAGCAACAGCAGCAACAGCAACAGCAACAGCAACATCAGCAGCAACTGCTGGCACTCTAATGCCAAACCATTGACAATGCTTTATCTATGTATGTGTCTCTGGTTCGCCCTCAACATGACAGATTTGTCTGTGCTAGAGCTTAGCATATTTTTGAGTATTTATCCAGATTTTTTGCTAAACATTTTGATGCAAACTTTGTGCAAATATTTGATTTTTATTGATTCAGCGCTGGCTGATGAAGTTTATCTGAAATTTGAGCTATGTTTGCTGCTTTATTTATATATCTAGATATCATATTCACAAAGCATACTGGCAATCAATATGAATTGTTAATCAAAATTATTTTCAATTAAATTTAATAATTATGTAATTTGATCGAGGGTAATTGGATAGAGATTTAACTGAAGCTAGTCAATGTTATAGTAGGGAGTGACTGATGGCTGCGTCAATCATTCCAAGCTTACGACACATGACATGTATATTATATCTATACACACACATACACTAGCACACATAAGCACGCGCCGCTTATGAGCTTCACTTTGCAGAGCTGATTGTTGCATAATTTTTGTTCTAGTTAAACTTTCTCCATGAAATTTTGAGAGTGAACAAAAAATAGAAAAGTATATAAATAAATAAAAAAAAATTTTAATTAAATTGGCTTTTGTGTCTACTAAAACACAAACTTTTACAAATATCATAGATCCATGTGTTAATATTAAAGCGAGCTACAAAGTAGTTTCAGTCTATATCATAGATCAATCAATAGATCCAGATATGACTGATGAGATTACTGCGCTCAAACGACTGCGAACATACATACATCACACAAAAGCTCTGCCACGCCTCCTACTCCTACATACATACACTCTAACACCACCTTACGTAATTTCCCCTCGTATTTCCATTTCTAAAAATTTTCTGATTTATGACAGTTAATTTTCATGACTCAAATGAAAATTCTGATGAGCTGTAATTGAATTGTGAAATGGAAACTTATAATAATTAATTATTGCAGCTGAATCACATCAATCCGTGCTCTTTATTGCAAATTCAAATGATTTTGCAAACATGCACAGCCTAAATGATTTATTGGAAATCAAATTTGGTTGCATTTTGGCGTGTTGATTGAATCAACTGTTATTAATAAATGTAATAAATGTTGAGCAGTTGACAATTTGTTGAACATGTCTTTGCTGCAGTCTAATTAGTGCAGCATTAAATGCAAATCAAATCAAATTGCCAATCCAATCAATAGTTGTCACTGACATTCGCAAATGCATTTGTAGTCTACGAAATATTTATGCTAGTCGAAATGGACTTTACTCTCTCTCTCTCTCTCTCTCTCTCCCTCACTCTCTGTCTCTCGTAGGAAATGAAATTTTTGCTGTAATTGTGGCTTAGCAATGCGTGACCAAATTAATAGAAAGCAATTGAGATTTGAATTTTGGCATTTTGCCCCTATTGATATGAGAGGCAAATGCCAATCAAGGACAATTGCTGAAAACCAAATTTGCGCTTCTTCAATGCAATTATGTTTAATAGGAAAATATTAATGGGTTTACACAAATTACGCACTGCAAATGAGTTTCAGTGATGCCGAAACGTGTTATGCGGTCGCCTTAATGGCGAAAGCCCAGTCCCATCAGCAACGGTCCGCACCATAAAAGGTTAATAAACGTGGCGTATAAACAAAAAGCTAACCACAGGCTAACCAGGCGCCCAATCCCACTTTCTCTACCTCTCTTTCTCCAACTCCTATCTCTCTTTCATATATTTATGAAATAACACAGAGATAAACGACAGGCACTTGGTTATACCCTGGCGATTGTGCTAGGGGTAGCGGGTATTATTGATTGAGAGCTGCAGAGTGAGCAGCCGCAGCAGCAGCAGCAGCAGCAGGAGAAGCAGCTGGAAGGAGTCGGTTTGTTAATCAAGATGTTAAGCTCATGAATGTGGCTTTCTTATATAATTCAATTATGAATTATGAACTTTTGATATGTGAGCGCTCAGTCTCAACTGACTCAAGTCAATTACGTGGCGTATACGTAATATATTTTTAATGAAAGTATTTAAATAGCATTTGAAAGTTAATTGCGTGTGTGCTTAGGGGGCGTATGCGTAATTTATGCATTGCTCAAGAGTTGTGTAAATACAAATATTTATGAATTTCTATTTGAATATTAAGAGAAATGAAAACCATGCGGTTCAAATAGAAACTCGAGCAGCATATCGAAATTAAATATTAAACAGATTTAATTGAATTGTAAATTTACTTAAATTAAATAAACAATTCAATGAAATAGTAGTTCAAATTTACCTTGCTGCATTTTATTGTAATTCATTTAGTGTTATATAATATATTTATATGAATTCAATAAAATTTATTTAAATTTGAGCTTCTATTTCAATAAATTAGTCCTATTTTAGGCTATACATTTAAAAGAAATTATATATTTAAATCATATTCTGGTAGTTCAATGAAAGAGTAGCTTAATTTTATATAAATTAAATTATATACAATTACCATTTTATTTAATTAAAATTCAGCTGAATTTTATATAAATTAAATTATATAAAAATACAATTTTATTTATTTAAAATTCAACTGCTATTTATTATATTCCTCCCTTTATTATATTAACAGCTTAAATTTAAATACGTTTTATTATTTAATTTTAATCAATTTAATTTCGGATTAAAATGTGACAATTAAATATCAATATAGAAATATTTTATATATATTTTAGTTTGACAAATTTTAGCTACCTATTCATTAGAAATGCAAGCTCAAATTTAAACATATTTTATTGAATAAATACGAATTTATTATTGTAGCAATTTGAGTTCCTTTGTGACCACACTCAGCTCTAATTTTCTCAAATTGCTGCATATAAATAAAATGTTTTTATTTGCTTTTGTGCACGTGCACCAACAATTGCCTCCAGTGTGTGTTTTGTGTAATAAACAAGCTGATATTTATGTAAATATGTCCAAGCCTGACATTTCGCGTCTTCCTCTACTCCATATGATTTTGCTTGTAAAGCGAAAAAAGCAAAGCTTTCACAAAATTATGCGCAAATAGTAGCTGAGCGTGGGTGCGGGGTCCCATATGGGGCGGGCAGAGGTGGGCAGAGGCGGGCAGGTGAAACACTCAGCTTAAACGCATCATAATATTCGGGGCACCTTAATTAGCTGTGTCATATTATGCAAATGATATTTAGATGGGGTGCGCGCCGCCCGCTGCTAATGAAAATCCCAATGAAAGATATTACGTATACGCAATGCTTATGCACATTCAAATTAATTGACTTCACGCTGTTATTGTTTATCCGACGACAGACAGCGCATATATTAACACATTTTAAAATGCTTCCAACTCCGCTCTCTACCACACTCAACAGGCAACATCGCAGCGGTGGCAGCGACGGCAGCGACGGCAGCAACAACGCCAACAGAGCCAACAACAATGGAGCTGGCGCCAGCGCACAGCGCGACGTCGGGCGGCCCAAGTGAGGAATTACAACGGCATATAAATCAAAATTTAATTATGTCGCCAGAGCTGGAGCTCGGCTCGAGCTTTGCCGTCGCATCGGCGGCCGCACTGACAGCTCCACATCCAGCTTCTGCCTCGCCCTCCTCCCCATCAGCGTCCTCATCCGCTTCGGGCAGCAGCATAACAAGCTTCGACTCCAACAGCTTGATCGATGACAAGCGACTGCCGCAATCCACACACCAGCACCAGCAGCAGCACCAGCACCAGCAGCACCAGCTCGAGCAGCAGCTTCAGATGCAGCAACACTCACGTATTCAGGCCAAAGATACGGCCGGGCCGTATCCAATACCTGCCCACAGGCCTGAGCCCGTTGAGAACCATCTGGAGTCGACGCACGGCATCGATGGTACGGATAATGTGTTCGGCACGCCCATGTACTTTGGCACCGAGAACTCAACCCTCGTTACGACACAAATTGGCGCCACAGCCCACATACCCTGCACCGTGCATCACATTGGCGAGGGTGTGGTAAGTAAATATAGATATATTCGCTCTCATCTACTCTGTCATACTCCAGCGACTCTCACAGAGTCTCACTGTTATAATTGTGGTCCGTTTCCTGTACCTGTGCCACACAAATGACTCATTCATGCCACGGCAATGGCATACCGCAATACGCATTCACTCGCGGTCCTCCGCTTGTCGCGCCATTGTTTTAATATTTTATTTAAAATCAATTCATCAACTGTTTTGTTTACCCTCCTCGCTGTGAGCTGGAGCAGTTCGACTTGAAGTTTTCCTACCTTTCTTCTCGCTCACTCACTCTCATTCTCATTCTCCCTCTCTTTCTCTTTGCCATTGTCTCTGTTATTGCCTGTCGCATAAATTAACAAAGTGCCATTCACAATGGCAAATAGATCGAGCGCATTTCCACTTCATGTTTTAATTAAAAATAAAAGAAATTAAATTTGAATTGGATTCAACTGACTTTTATATACAAATAATTGGAAAAAAGTATAATTATTTTTTTATATTTATATTCTGTACATATTAATTTAATTATATAATTAAAATTATATATATAATTTTTATTTATTATATATATAAAAAATATCTATAATTAAATTGTTTTTATTTATTTATTTTTATTTTCTATATTTTAATTTATTTGATTACAAAATTGTTTACATTTATTTTATGAAAATATTTATTTATATAAAAAAAATTTACACGAATATTTGAATAAATTTTTATAATTATAAATATACATTTTTTATAAATATACTATATTTATTTTCAATTTTAAAACAATTAATTATGCACGTTTACAGGAAATAGTTGTGTAATTCTCTGTACTCCCTCGATTTACTTAATCTTTCTTAATCATGGGTAATAATTAATAATATCTTTAATTATTCTCCTTCACCTAGTACATTATTTCGGCAATACTGCTTATTGATTTTCCAACTAATTCTTAAGAAAAATCCCAATTATTTTCATCACACCCTGGGCGTAAGTGGAAGGCAACAAAAAATAAATAAAATAAGACACTTCTCTCCATGGTTAAGTTCAAGTGTGTTTGGTACACACGTAGCTCTGGCTATATTTGTAGCTCTGCCACACCCACTTAATGGCACCTGCGCCCCTAACACACCTGACAATTTCGCAGAATTAATTAAATTTTTCCCTGTGTTATCGAATGCTGCACTTGGTGAGCGTGGCTCATAATAATAAAACGAAACTAAATATTGTATTACACAGAGACACATACATATATCTCATACCCATAACACACACACACACTTGCACGTCGTCTAGGGGTAACAAATTACAGCAATGGCTAATGTACATCAACTACAAATAATCAAGCAATACACAGAGACAAATTCCAAAGCGAGAGAGAGTGAGAGAGGATGAGTATGTGAGTGAGTGAGAAATACGGCTGCTGCTATATGGCCTCAAGTGGTATTAATTTTACGCTTGTCTAGAGTTATTACTCATACGCAGCGTACGCCTCACGCACGCTTCGCCTATTTGTTTAAGCCCGACCCCCCGCTGCCCCTCGCCTTAACCCAGCACGCGCTTCGGGAATTTGCCGGGACTCAACGTGTTTATGCCCCAAAATGCTGGACACGATTAGAAACGTGTGTTGGCAGACCCTCAGCCTACCTCGTCCTCTCTCTCTCTCTCTCCCTCACTCTCTTTCTGCATGTGTGTGTGTGTGTGTGTGTCTGGTTTAAATTGACGATTTCATAATTGCGCCTTCAAGTGTGCAGAAGTTAATAAGCACTTAAGCGCCCGTAGGCCGAAATTCCAGCAAGTTGTGTGGCTTTTGGACCGCACTCACACACACGCACACACACACACCCACGCGCACACTTGTGCTTGGAGTGTGTTAACTCATCGTCCGGTTAGCCAGTTTGCACTTGAGCCGGGCCATGGTCGTGCTTAAGTGGCCATTGGACAGCTACTAAACTTGAATCGCCTAAATGACAGCAGTCGTCGACCTGCCCCGCCCCCCGCCACGAAACAGCTTAGCCACTGGCTTGAAAATGATAATAATTCCCAAATGTGATGTGCTGTTATGGCCACGGTGTTTATTTACCCATACGAGCAATCGTAAGTGACTGTGTGTGTGTGTGTGTGTGTGAGTGTGTGAATGGCCTGTGTATCATTAGCAGAAAATACGTATACGCACTTATCGAGCATACGCCGGAGTAATTGGCGCGCACAAATTAAAGACGAGGCAAGCAGAGTAATTTTCATCGAAGCTGAGACTCATTTGGTCGCACACACACACGCACACACACACACCACGTTGACAGCTGCCTTTCAGCTTCGATTCGGTTTTTGCTTGTTAAAGTCGTTTGTCTTTGGCATTGAATTCAGTTTGAAATGCATCGCCTTTGCTATTTTAAGCTGCTTATGGCTTGCCAACAGACACGCACACATATGCATGCCAGCAATGCATGCACAATACACACACACACACACACTCATCGATGATAGTCTCAAGTTGTTATAAATGCATTTACATTTCACAGCATTTTTCATGCATTTTCATAAACGTTTGCCTGCCTGTAGCTCTGTGTGTGTGTGTGTGCTTTTATATATATATATTTATAGTTTGCCCCTGCACACCTGCTGCACACACACACACACACCCACAGGCCAGCTGCCTTTGCCGACTGCGCATTAATATTCGCAGAAATTTATGAACAGCATTAAGGGCACACACACACACACATACATACAGACCACTGTAATATGCAAATGTATTTTGCAATGGGAAAGGTTCAATGAATAGGAAATATGTACATGCATGTATACAAACAAATGGGACACATACATATACATACATATTCATATACATATACACATGCAGGGCAGTGATATATGAAGCGTATATATAGAAAAGTCAGCGAAAGCGCAGCTTGTGAGTTCTTTAACAATTTCAATGCATAAAACTTGAGAGTTGCGGAAAAGTTGTGAGTACAGGTTTATGGGAATTGCGTAGAGAGCGGTTAGATATTTGCAACAAAGGAGTGAGGGCTGGGAAATAGAAAAGAGTGGGTCTATGAGCAAATGAAAAATAGAGTACATCACAACTTACAGAAATAAAATAATAAAAAATAAAAAAAAATAAGAAAACTAAAGTCATAAAAAAAGTTGAAAAGAATGAAACACAGTATGTGAAGAAATAATGAATGAATAAATGAAAAGCGATAAAAAGAGCAAGAAGAAATAATTCGAATTGAGTATTTCTTCATTACCAAAATGCTAAAGGGAAAAATAATAAGGCGAGTAATTCCATAAAATAAATGAAAAGCAGAATAATATTTGTATTTAATTACTAATATATTTTTTTTATTTCTGAAAGCAATTTTTATTTCTATTTGGAATTTTCACTGCATTGAACACCAAAAAATATAATTTTTAAGTAATTAAAACTAAATAAATTGCAATTATAAATTATTATTACAAATTATTATCAATTGCTTATTATTTTGTATTTTTCGTATTAATTTTTTTTTGTTATTTATTTGAATAAAAATTTTTTTCAACTTTCTTAAGACTACATATTGCAAATAAATAAAATTGTTTGGCACTTAAAGATTATTAATAGCTCGGCTCTTCCAGTTCTAGCTCATTCATAACCTTCTCATGCTCTTAGCTCCACACTACTCCATCACATCTCTACAGGTTACAGGGTATATCTACTTCGTTGACTTCATTTCCATTTGGCAGCCAAGCCAACTTTTTGCCTTTGTCCAATGCTAGGCAAAGGTTTGCCCCTTGTTTTTGTGCTCTGGTTGGTTTGTGCGTTTGTTGCTTGTTGCACCCTTAATGAAGGCTGTTTTTTTCTTTTTTCTATTTTTTTTTTTTATACCCTGAACCCATTGAAAATGGGAAATCAGGGTATAATG